CATATTAAGTTTTGTATGCTTATTTGGGGAAGGGGTTTCATATTATGGTTTGTATACTTTTTTGTTTGTTTCCTTCCAAAAAAAAAAAAAAAAGAAAAGCCTTATTTAGGCATATGGAAAATAATTACATGTCAACGGATGTGAACATCGCTTCCTCCTTATCCCATGTAGGAGTAACACTTATGGCGGATTCACGATGCGAGCTCGAGAAATGGGTGGCCGATGCACTGCATCTCGTTCAATCCTCCCACAGACCCTGTGAAGAAGTCATCACACTCTTTTCGCAGGTGGACGCTCAGAAAAGAAGGAGTCTTGAGGTGGAAGATTTCTGGAGCATATTCATATTTAGACTCATGATTTAGACCACTCTGCCTCCCTAAGCCACTCTTCCCATTATAGCCCACTGCCTGGTACAGTATCTAATTTGGAAGTAAGGCAAGGATTATATGAACGTATGATGATTTATAGTCCAAATAAAATGTGCTGCATTCTCTCTTTGGGAAGATCTCAGGGAAAATCTTTGCTCCTCTCTGCAGAGTTACATTTTTTGACACCCTTGTTGAAAGTTGACTCCAACATCTCCTTCATTCTTTCTTCCTGGAGACCCTCAGTTTCCCATCAAAGGGTCACCCACAATTTGACACTTGGATCAGTGGATCAGTGGTATCCTGGGGGCCCCATGGAACTGCAGGAAACTGGCACACAAATTAAGCCCCTACCTTTCCTGGAAGTTTTGCTACCTGCTAAAAAAAAATTCAACTAAACCAAAATCACGAGAGGTCTTAAAGAGATACTGAAATAAGTGGTAGCTCAGTAATTGCTACAGAAATCACTAGAGGGCAAGTTTTATACTTTTATCCCATGCTCTTAAATAACAAGCTCCAGGTCCCCGTGTCTCAGTGTGTTTATCTGCTAAACAGGCATAATGATACATGCTAATGATTCTGGTCACCAAGTCCAACACGTGGAGGTTTTCCCACACCACCAAGCAATTCTTGGACACCAGCTGGGTGTGCTACAATTCAACTCAATTCTGACACTATTTACCTGGAGATGGCGTCAGATCCCACAGGTTAAGGGCTCGCTCCTGCAACACGGCCCCCTCCCCCACCACTTCAGATGCCAATTGCCAAGTCCAGGTTGGTATTTTGCTTCTGACCTACCAGCTATAGACCAGAGGTTTCAACAATTCCTCCTTGGATTCCATTAATTTGCTAGAGTGGCTCTCAAAACTCAGAGAAACATTCTACTTACTAGATCACCAGTTTATTATGAAAGGATATAACTCAGGAACAGCCAGATAGAACAGATGCATAGGGCAAGGTACGGGGAAAGGGCATGGACCTTCCGTGCTCTCTGAGTGCACAAATCTCCACAAATCTCCATGTGTTCACCAGCCCAGAAGCTCTCCGAACCCACTCTTTTGGGTTTTTGTGGAAACTTCATCACAAAGGCATACTTGATTAAATCACTGGCTAATGGTTATTGATTCAACCTCCAGCCCCTGTCCCCTCTGAAGGTCAGGCAGGTGGGACTGAAAGTGCCAACCCTCTAATCACATGGTTGGCTCTCCTGGTAACCAGCTTCCATCCTTAGGTGGAGTCCTAAAGTCACCTCATTAACATAAAAAAGGATACCTTTAGTTCTCATCATTTAGGAAATTCCAAGGGTTTTAGGAGCTCTGTGCCAGAAATAGGACAAGACCATATATATATTTCTTAATATAAGTCACAATAATACACATTGCCTTATTTTCCTTGCTAAGGTGTTGTGAAGTCAACTCAGGTAACACAGATGCCAAGTGCTCTCAGTGGTTGAGAGTGTAATGCACATGTGAATGGAGTTGTGGATGCTGCCTCAGAATTCTTACTATCCCCTGGACTTGTGGTTCTATGATGATGCTTACCTGGAAAGTCATCCTGGGGCTCCAAACTGTGAATTTTTGGAGGGAAACGTATTTCCATAAAGCTTTTTAAGGAGCCGGCCCTGTGGCGGAGTTCTCACGCTCTCATGGTTAAGTTCTAGCGCTCCAGGTTGGCAGCCCAGGGTTTTGCCGGTTCAGATCCTGCGTGTGGACCTTGCACCACTCATCAAGCCACGCTGAGCTGTGTCCCACGCGGCAGAACCAGAAGGAGCTACAACTAGATTATAGAACTATATACTGGGGGGCTTTGGGGAGAAGAAGGAAAAAAAAAAAGATTGCAACAGATGTTAGCTGGGGGCCAACCTGTTTTAAAAAAAATGCTTTTTAAGCACGTCCAAGGATGTCACTCTTGGGCACCGTAGGCCTTTGCTATAAAGACCTCCTTCTCCGCAGAGTTTCATATTCTCGTTAGGAAAGGCTGAGGGGACTGCCCAGTTTTCAGATGAAACCAAGGCTCAAACAAGGGAAGTGACATAATTTCCTGCCTCCTGCTCCCCAGAGCTCTACGTACAGATAGACGCACTTTCATGGCACAGCAGAATGGACCTGTAAGTTCTGGCAAAAGTAACATAACCATAATTTGCCTCAAAAAAATAATAATTATCTCACAAACAATTTGGAAGTCATATTTAAACTATACTAGTGAGTAAAATAGGAATAATAGTAGTAAATAGTATTTATTGGGCTTAAGCTACGTGCAAAGCAATTTGGCAAATACTTAGCACATATTATCCTAAGAATTCTTCCTCCCCTGCATGGGTAGCTAGATGGGGCAAATGAGGCTCAGTGGTGAAGGAAGCGTTCATGCGCACAGAGCCAGGGAAGAGCTGACTTTAGACTCAAATCTGAGTCTATCCTGATTCCCACATTCCTGTACTTGGTCGTTGTGCCTCCTACTTCTTCAGGGATGAGAACTGGAATTAGGGGTGGAGATTTTATATCGTAGTCAGGAATCAGGGCAATACACTCATTGCCTAAGTTACTGCTGCTGCCGAATATTCCAATTACACACTTGCTATATTTCAAACATGAAAATGATTTGTGTAGGTTGGTTTACATAGGAGTGACATTCAATAAAGGAAATATATTCCTTGATCTTTGATTTGCTTAACAAGCAGCTTTCAATTTTCAGTTTTATTAATTGCTCTGAAAACCTACAATTTAGGTAAAAGTAATTAGATTTGATTTTACTCATTTGGTTAGCTCTCTTTTAATATAAAGGGGATTGCAAAGAATCACTCTCATCTATACGTGTCATATACAATATAAAAATAGGAAATACCAGGAGACATCCATCCACTCCTTCAAAATTAGATCTAACTTGATTTCTAATGAGGGATTTGCTCTTGTAAGAAATTGCCTTGACAAGTCTTTTCTTCAGGGAATCAATACATCTTTTTTCTTTTTCTTTTTAAAAACCAATTTCTTAGCCTCCTGGCACCTTTTATACCTTCTACAACAATGACCAATGATAATTACACTATGGGTGATGCTTGCTATGGAATCCACACTTTGATCCAGACAGACACGGTGTTTGTCACACCAGGAAGTGGCAAGACTTGACAGTGAAGCAGTTAACAGGATGCGTTTCAGGGGTGGGAGGGGTCTAGGTTCAGAACGAGAGGTCATTGAGAGCTCTCACACCGTGATTTTGAAGATTTGAAGACAGTAACAAACCTAATAGTCCTGACCACCTTAACTGGTAGAAGAGGGAATCAGAAATCAGAAATCCAAGAGTGTGGCCAAGACCTAAGACACAAGAGAGAAACCAGATATCAAATAGAGAATGGGAGAGCAGACCTAAGGGGCTCCATGAATTTCACCACCCAAAGCTTATTGAGAAAGTCAATTTTTGTTGGTCCAACCAGATCATGGTGGTTCTACTCCCACAGGCTGTCATCATCCCTGAATGTCCGTTAAATGATCACGCAATACCTGACGTAAATGGAAAACATCGTGCCACACCTGTTTGGGAGTAAAATGAAATCACATTTATAGGGAAAAAAGGCTTAGATTTACTAATCATACTCAAAATTGTGAGAATTCACCCTTGCTAAAGCCAATTTTCAGGAAGTCTCAGGGAACGGAATATATCACACAAGGAAGCAAATGGCTTTGACCAACATTATCGTCAACCTAATGGCACTCCCTTTCCGACTCTTTGTGTGTGATGTGGTGTATGATTTGGGAAAGTTGGTTCAACTCTCCCAGATATCATACCTTTGATTTCAATGGCAATAAACATCTCCTCTCATGCAAGGCATTCGGAAGGTTTTAAAGACAATTTGTGTCAAGGGCCTGACACATAGCAGATGCATAAATTTTGATAGATTCCTTTCTTTCTCTCTTTCCTTTCATTGATTTTGATTGGACAAAATAGCTTAGAATCCATGAGAAATGGGAAGAGAAGGGCATTTTTCATTTCTGTGTTATCCTCCCACCCCTCAGGGCAGCGACCTTTATAACACAGCTCTTAAGTTGTTGCATGCTGTTACTTGAATGCCTTCAACTTCTCATAGCCTTAGCAGACTGCAGCAAACCAGAAAAATCAAAGTAGGCCAGAAATCTCAAAAAGAACTTACTCTGCCTTTGCCATATCCGAGGATCGGAGAAGCGTCGTTAACTGAGATGGAACCTAAATGACAATTGCCCATGAACTCAAGGTGATTTAGTCTCATATTTGGAGAGAAAACTTTTTGTCTTAATTTTCTGATAGTGGTACATGCATTCCTTTCTTCTTTCCAGTAACACGACGAAGCCCCATGTGGCCCAGAATCTTTGCACTGGAGACTAGCAGCAGCTGCCACTGCAGATCAATGTGCGTGCGGGCAGCCCTGCTCCAGGAGTGGGACCAGACAAGCAGAGAAAGCTTGTCACCTTTGATTACTCGCCTTATCCTGGTGCTAAAGAAACAAGATGTGAAGAATGGCCTCTCAAGAACATTTGATCCAGCCTGCAAAATCCCTGCAACTTTAACCCTTCCCTGCTGGAGATCCATGTACGGTCCTCAGAGGCGTTTTCAATGGAATGTCATTTCCAATCAATGACCTACACGCAGACACGTAAACATTTCAGATTCCACAGGAAAACCACCCTTTATTAAGAATGGGCAGATAATGGACAGAACTGACTCCACAGAATTTTCCTTTCGCAACGCTTTGTAGTTAGAGCATCATTGGACGGGGCAGCAGGAAATCTGGTTTCTAAGCTTGGACTGTCTTCAACAAGCTGTGTGCGCCACGGTTCCCCCATCTGTCCCATGAAGAAGCTGGAGAGGACAGCATCCAAGCGCTCTTCCACGTTTGACATCCCCAGTGTTGCTGAGCTGAGAAGATCCAGGCCTTGGAGTCCCACAGACATGGTTTAATCTCAGCTCCAAGTCACCAAACATATATTTTTTTTACTTAATAAGCAAAGTGGGGATAAGAGTGCCTAATACACAGGATTATTTTGAGGATTAAATAAGATAAGTGAATCACTGTGTTTAGCTCAGTGGTTGGCCGATAGAAAGAACTTAATAAACTGAAAAACTATACTTATGATTGTTTATAGGATCTGTTTAACTGCTGATTGTTGCTAACAAATGTATGAATAAGGTGGCTTTAAAAATTGGTTGTTTAACAAAGACATTAAACTTATTGAGAAAGATGTGAGAATTTCCATTTCTGCAAATGCTCTTGCGTTGCTGTGCAAGATAATGTACAGAAAAAATAAACAAATGTACAAAACAAACAAGCACAAATCTTGCAGAGCGTTGCTCCCTGGAATGACGGCTGGGGCCTGGCCCTGCAGCTTCAGTGACTGGACACTAGCGTCTCGATGTTTTCCGGTTCTCTTCGCCAGCAGGTCTGCACAAGTCACGTAAGCAATGCTTAGAAGCCCCATTTGCAGTCGACCTGCATAGAGAAGCCAAAGGAAAGAGTCAATGCAATTAACCTAGAGTGAAATCCTGCTTCAAAAAAATTCTCCCCCTCTATTCTTGGATTTATAGTACAAGGTTTTCACTGTAATGGCTCTTGTAAATTAATTGCAGACACAATTGTCTACGGGCATTCTCAGAATAAGTGGCAAGTAGTTAATTGCACCCTGAATTAGCCAATTCTGCCCATAATTAACCATTTGAAGACAATTAATTGCATGCATAATATTTGCACCTGCAACTAATTGGAGACCCTTATATTGTTCCTGGAAGAAATAAATAAATAAATAACAACAACAACAAAAGAACGAGGGCCTACTCTTCAAATGTAGTCCTTTACAGGCCACGGTTCTATAGAGCTGGGAAGGGGCAGAGCTGAGGAAAACACTCATCTGTGTCACAGCTGCTTCCGTGGAAAAGCCATGTTACATCATCGAGGACCAGCAAGGTTTGCAGGACATTGTTTTTTGCTTGTTTTCCTTTTTTCTCTTCTCTCTATTATTAATGTGAATTAACTGTACTTAAATTTAATTTCTTCAGCTATCTAATTCAAAAATTGAAGGTTATCCACGGTTTGGAAACATTAAGACTGCTCCATGTATTGAAACGATGGTGGTGTTTTAAAAGAAAGGCTAAGTTCTCTTATTTCTGCTGCTGTTTCACCTACAGACTGACTAAATGTGCCTGCCGGAGTAAAGAGCAAGATTCCCCCAGCCCTGGAGAGGATGAGAAGCGAACCACACACAGATCACTACCGCAGGAGGCTGTGGCTGCCTGTGCATCAGCACAACCTCTCCTCACTCGTAAGAAAATAAATTCCTTTCAACTATAATAATAATAACAATGGTAATAGTTACAACAGTAACAATAACTATAATCATCACATAGTGCGTACTTTTGCCTAGCACTTTACATTGCCTCACTTAAATTGTTGCAATTCAAAGAGATATTTTATGCCATTTTGTAGATGAAAAAACTACTTATAGAATATAGGTAATTTTCCTAATGTTACACAGCTAATAACTCAGAGAGATACAGTTTAAACTTGGATAATCTAATCCACATAAAGTGCCCAGCACAGTGCCTGACACATGACCAATACTCAGTTGACATTAGCCAAAATGTTTTGACCCCTGTTGATTTCTAAGTTTATTCTCTTTTAATAGCCATGTCGAGGATGGGATTATAGTACTAAGAGTTAATATATAACTAATACATATATGACTAATATATAACAAACTAAATGCCTATGATGTGCCAGTTACTGTTTTAAGTGCTTCACACGAACTAAGTGACTTTAAACTCCACAACAAAGGCATGAGAAGTGGGAATTACTATCCCCACTTTACAGATGATAAAACTGGGGCAGAAAAATGTTTAACTTGCTTAAGGATATATGAGTGACAAAGGGACGAGATAGGGTATCAAATACTGCATCCTACCTCTGAAAGGAGTGTGCTCAACCACTCACTAGGTTATCTCTTCCAAGCTGGACAGGTGGATTTGTCTGTAAAAAATGTGTGTGTGTAAACTTGGACATGATGGAGCTGGAAATTAAAAAGCAATAAATAAAATTTTAAAACTCTGGCCTGTGTGTCAATGCTTGCTTTCTCAAATGGGAGCAAGACCACTGTGGTTTAGGGAAAACAGAGGGAGAAACCCCTCTCTTTTCTGCCTGCGTGAGAAGCTGGAGCCCACAGGCTGAAGGTTAGTCCTGGAAGGAGGTGCTCTCACTGATGACTCCGAAGGCCATTCCTCGAGTCATAGAGAAGAATTGCTGAGAAATGGAAGAGGAGCAGAGGGGCAGAGCTCAGTACAGGTGAGGGCCAGGACAAAGCACATGGTGACGCAGAGGCGGGGTTGGTGCTGGTGGTCCCGTTCACAGCAGGAGAGGCACCAACAATGAGAAGCAGAGTCAACACAAGCAAGATTGTGCAAGGCAAAAAGGCCCCGCGGCTGGGCCAGGGGGTCATTTCAGGCAGGTCCTGGGGGCCTCCCTGTGGGCCTATGGATCGTCAGTGAAGCTGAATGGGATTTCTACAAGAGCGTGTTGCTTTGTGAGGATGCAACTCCACCAGATTACCAGCTGGGAAATACTAAGGGTTGATCTTCTCCCACCGTGTAAAAGAACTGAGTGTGCTGGTTAAACATTTATGAAGTATGAACAGAACAGGGTTCAACAGGTCGGGGGGCCGGTGGAGGGAGGCTCTGGGGGAGCCCAGGGGAGCGCTGCACGGTGTCTCAGCCACTGGACTGGCACCTAACTCCATGAAGTCGGGGGAAACAAAGGAAAGCAAACTTTGAGGGCACGATGAGTTGTATCACATGACAATGATAAGCTTTAAAGACACCAGGAAATGTATGGGGCTTTTTCACCCCTAGAAATAAACCTAAAACATGGCATTGTCAACTTCACTGATGAACATTTTGAACGGGGCGAATGAATGCTAGGGCCCGGGACCCACTCCTGGAGAACTTTGTCATCAGGTGGACAGAAATCCACTAACAAAAATATCCAGAAGACGATTTTACAATCAGATACAGATCCAAATGACTCTTGCTTCAGTTTGTATTTTCCCAATTTATCCACAAGCGTGAAAGAGTGTTCTAAATGTCTTGCTGAATCAAGGGGCACCACATGTGCACAAGTCCGCATCTGAGCACTGCCCCACACTCATGCTTCTTCTAGTTGCTAATGCAGTTCCTGACGTTAGTTTAGTGCATTCTTAGAAAAGCCGTTTTCTCCTAGTGAACTAACACTTTCTTTTCTCCTTTACACATCTTCTACTTAATTGTCCATTTTCACATTGTTTTTCCACAGATTAACGTTGTGTGTCATCCAATCTCTGGCTTTCCTTCACCTCTTGTTTGCCCAGTTTCTCTGGGGAAGAACATGCTGATTTTGCCGTGTGGAGCTGCCCTTTCTCGGGCCCACATGGCTGACCTCTCCTACCAGCAAGATTACTCATCTCGGACCATTTATTCCCTTCCACTGTCTTATTCCAACCAGGAAGCCCATCTCATCAAGTCTTGGAGTAGCTATTGTTGCATATCGTTTGTATATTACACACATTTGGGAATTTTTAATAGATACTCAGGATTCCAAAGTTGTGGTCAACAGTTATTTTTGATTTCCTCTTCAACAGCTATTTTTTTTGACTCATATTATTATATGCATTTGTTAATGTTTCCTTCCTATGCTAGATTTTAAGTCCTCATTCTGTCTCCAGCCAGAATGTCAGCACGAAACTAAGGTGTATCGGGGGATTCATCGTCTGTCCACCACAGCATCTGCTTTACTGTCTGACACCTTTTCTCATCATCCACCAAAACTTGAATTTAAAGCTTCCCTAATAGAACGGGCAAGCGTCCTGTTACATACACGCTTCGTGACAGGAGATCAGCAGCCTGCCAGAGTGGCAGGGATGGGCAAGAGAGAAGTACAGCCAGGAGGACTGAAGAATGGGAGCAGAGAGACAAGGGAGGGGAAAAGCTGAAAGGAAAAGTGACTTAGCTTAGGTCGGGCTTCTAGTCTTATAAGATTCTTACTTTTCCCCAGAGCTCCTCTACCTCCATATTTATCCTCATTTTGGGTGTTACTATTCACAGAAACCTTGAGATCCCAGCCTTCGCTCAGCCCCCTCCCTTCACCCTTCCCCGTCATGTCCCACAAAGGCACACAGACATCCCATCCATCCAGGAGCCTCCTGAATACCACGTGGGCATGAACTCATACATGCATAATGTATACAGACACGGGTTCTCTGACTGATGCCACGACATGCAGAGTCGTACAAAAGCAGTGAAAAGAATTGCTCCTCGAATATGAGGCACAAATCGGATGGTGGTGCCCCAGTGGCATTGTGGAACATGTGCTTTAATAACATCAAAATCTCTCTGCAGCCTCCGAGGGGCGAGATTCAAAGATGCCAGCATCTCAAACCACTGCATCTCTTTAGAGCACAAGTCACCGCAGAGCCTTTTCTCACATTATTTGCAAGTTTCCCACCTTGCCCACTCTTCAAACATGACCTCATTGCCACCTGCCAGGCAGTGGTGTGGTGTAAAATGTGGTCCTATTATGGAGCGAGATGGTGTGATCAGAGAGCACCCCACCTCCACACAGCCAGATTGAAAAGAGCAGATGGAAAGAAGGGAGCTGAGAAGGGTCGGGACAAGAATTCAGAGTCTGTTTCTCATTTGTTCAGTCCTCCCCGCCCCTACACGCGTGCATTTTTAAAAATGGTTGTTTAAAAAAATGGAAGAGAACAAAAACGATTCACAGACCCATTAGCCAAAGACAAATGAAGCTGAGCCCCGGAGGCAGCGGGCAGCGTTCGAGCTATAGCACAGGTCTTCCCTGCTTCTTTCCATCAAGGCTGTCCTTTTAAGTGAGTCAAACACTGAAGATCTATTTCCCCAAAATTGCACTGCTCTTTGACCATGGTTTCTGGTGGTCCAGTTTTAGAGACGAAATATTAATGAAATGGGGGGAGACGAAGAAAGAAACCCACTGAACGGTTGACTGTTTAGTTCTGAGAGCATCGCTGTGAGGGGTGACAGACAGATCAAGGGTGAGGGGGCTTGTTGATTCATTTGAGTTGTAACGTGACAAGAGGAAAGCAAATTTTGTCTAGGACAAACCGGTTTTAAACCACAGGAAGGGGCTTTTCCAGACCTGGGCTGTGATAAGTATGGCTAGTGTATTGTTATATGAGTTCATTAAAAATACCCGGGACAAAAAATTGAGACACACAAGAGAGCTTCTATCTTATACTATTGCCCTTGTGGGGTGATAACCAGCAATAAGTCAGGGTCACACTTGATACGGATGTACTCACTTTACGTGCTGTAAAGCAAAGTTCTACCTGGAGACTTTACATCTAGAGTCTTGTTTGGTGGCTGCAGTGTGGGTGTGAAGACATGCCTTAGATGTTTACTGGTAAATATTAGGGAATCCTGTGACTTGAATAATCA